GGCCCAGCCGTTCCGCGGCATGTGGGATCTTCCCGGACCGGGGAATGAACCCGTGTCCCGTGCATCGGCAGGCGGACTCCCAACCACTGCGCCACCAGGGAAGCCCAAGAGTACTTTTAATTTGACAAACTAACTCCCGTTATTTCCTCAGGGGGCTAGGATTATACTCTCCTCGGTAACAGACATTCCTGTCTGGCTACATGCTCTTGTTTCTGGAACATTCTTAAAGAATAAATTCAACAGTGTGAGTGTCAGGCTGGGCGAGGAAGACGTGACAAACATCCATCGCACCAGGTGCCTGGGTCTGGTCCAGCGAGCAGCTGTCAGCAGCTTCCGCCCAAAGGCTGTGGTTCTGCCTGGAAGGCCGGCCTCAGGGTGGCCACGCAGGGACTTCCAACCTGCTCCACGGAGGGGCCACCAACCCCGCCCACGGGGACAGCCGGGCACGTTTAATACTAGCCATGACTCGCTGGGGCTTTTCTCTCCAGTGATAACACTGGGAAATGAAGGAATCAGCTAAAACATTTTAACAGACTGTGTGGTTGCCAAGTTAAAGGTCACGGGGTCAGGAGGCACGAGCGGTCATCCTCAGCGGCCAGCAGGACCCTGCTCAGCAGCAGCCCAACCCGGCTGCCCCCATCTCTGGGCGCCGGCCGGCCAGCCCACTGCTTCCTTTCCCTTCTGCAAAACTTCACCCTCCATCCCCATGGTTCCACTTTCACAGTCTGCTTCTGAAGGGAGCGCAGACCTTCTGTTTCTATTTCATTTTAAGAACGTTTGTGCTAATCACTTTTCTAACAAGATTAAGTAAGACAGGACAAGCAGTAAGATTCCAGAAGCTTAAAGTTAGTTATGGCTAAGGTCCCTGGTCTAGGGCGTGTCTCTCTTTCTGAAAAGCAGTGGCCAATGGATCTGAGTCTAGCCTGCATTTCACATCATCACTCAGCAAATTTGTACTGAGGGTTTAACGGGGCCCCCTGTCCACAGCGTGAGGACAAGAGAAGGCGACTGTGAACCAGGAGGACAGGCCTCCCCAGAAGCCACAGAGCTGGCCCCCTGATCACGGACCTCCAGAGCTGTGAGAAACACGTTTCTGTTGTTTGAGCCATCTGGTCTGCAGTACTTCTGACGGTAGCCCAAGTGGACCAAGACTTTTACGTCCAATTTTAAGCAGATTTGCCTTCCTCACAGATGCATCCGGCAGCGTGGTGGGAGATGGAGGGGTGGGGAGAAGGGGCAGCAGAGAGAACAGAACAGTTGGGTTCTGGTCCCGCTTTTAGGCCAGGCTGAGGGCACCATCAGAGTGGACCCTCCTCCCTGCGCTCAGAAGAGTCCCGCTGCCATCTACCAAGTATGTGGACCCCTCTGTGCATTTCTCACAGGAGCTTCCTTCCACTGAGTGCTGCCCATGTGAGCAATTCCTCACCACACAATCCTTTTTTGGAAAACACAATGCCAATCATAAAGGCAGGCTTGAGTTGGGTTTTGTTTCTAATACATATATTGAGTTTTGAATCTTTCTCTTTTCCATCATGTATTTGAATCATATCTTCAAATACCCAAGTTTGCTTAGGTTAAAGAAAAAAATTATTTCAAGCTGTTAAAGAAGACATTATTCAGAGACACTTGTTAAAGCATGGAAAGGCGGACTTGATCCAAGAGGGGGCCTTCATATGGGTGGAGGGACGGACCCCTGCAGTGGGACTGGTGAGACCTTGTTTTTTTCTTGCAGTCGAGGAAAGAGCTCAGACTGAACTCTGAATGCCACACAGGCAAGCGGGAACTCAGAGCCAGGGAGCAGGGTGGGTGTCGGTGGATGGAGAGTTACTAAGAGGAGCCATCAGGGTCAACTAAACATCCGGGGTTCTGGCTAAACCGACCCAAGAGGACTCTGGGTGAAGGCAAGCCAGGGTGAGCGGTCATCTGGGGGTGGTGGGAGGGTGAAGAACCCAATTAGATTTGGAGGGTTAGCAGAGATGGGGGACAGGGGATCCTAGCCAAACCAACTTGGCAGGATTCTTGCTGGAATTGGACAATGCTGAGATGAAGACTCAAGTCCAAAAGTTGAGGCCTCATTGAAACTCAGGGGATCCTGAGTAGAGTTCGGTCAAGGACAGAGTCTTTGTCATTTATTTATGGTTGCTTTATCAAATAAAAAACAAAGGATGTGAGTCATGAAGGCACTTTTTCCCTAGAGCTCTTTAAAAACAACAGTCCTAAAGAAAATCTGTAATTAGTAATAATTATAAGAGTTGGGCAAAACCTGGGACCAAGCAATTGGACTGTTGACTTTAGCAGTACTCCCTAGACTGCCCTTTATCATTCTCACACCCACAATTACCATGCAGCATGTTTTAGGGGTCCATCATCATATTAATCTATTTCTAGACAGCTACGTCAATATGTATATGGTCCGAGTAGCCCTGAGAAACTGGAAAGTCATCTTAGCTGAGGAAGGACGAACTCTAAGCACCCTGTCACTGTAACCTGCTTTGTTTTCTGAGGCCTTAGGACTCTCTATGCAAAATAAATCTCAACATTAAAAAAATTCTAACTGTGGGTTGGAAACTGGTCTGGATATTATTCTAAGCTCTGCCACAGGCAGGCAGCTTGTCCCTGAGCAAGTTCCTTGGCGTATCTCTGCCTCGGCTTCATCATTCGCAGAAGGTAGGGTAAGGAATATTACTCCCCTCTCATTATTATGGATGACAAGGTGTGCTTATGTCCTTCTGCAAAATGGGCTGCCTCTTTCCTAGGAAGGGTGGAAGTCATCGCCCAGATATATATCTTTTTTTTTTAATTTTTAAATTTTATTTATTTTCTTATTATTTGAAAAAAATTTTTTTTGGCTGCTTTGGGTCTTCGTTGCTGTGCGCAGGCTTTCTCTATAGTTTTGGCGAGCAGGGGCTACTCTTCGTTGCAGTGGGCGGGCTTCTCATTGCGGTGCCTTCTCCTTGCCAAGCGTGGGCTCTAGGTGCGCGGGCTTCAGTAGTTGCAGCACGCGGGCTCAGTAGCTGCGGCACACGGGCTCTAGGGTGCGCAGGCTTCAGTAATTGTGGTGCAGGGGCTTAGTCGCTCTGCGGCATGTGGGATCTTCCCCGACCAGGGCTCGGGCCCGTGTTCCCCGCATTGGCAGGCGGATTCTTAACCACTGCACCACCAGGGAAGTCCCAGGTATACCTCTTAAAGAGATAATTAGATTAAAAGCATCATGGTGTTTACAAAGAAAAATAATTGAATCCTAGAGTGGACCAAGCTCCAAATGGGTTTATAGCATACTTCTACCTGTTTGGTCCAAACAAAAAAGTATTTTGCTCGAATTACTGAAATTTCCTTTCTTGCCTCATCTAACTGATGGGAGACAGATTCTAAGTCTCGTTCACACTTCCCATCCATGAGTACTTGCTCACTAAGGTGAGATACCCGCTATGTTTTCTCCTTTGCTGTGTCTGGAGCATTTCCCAGTGTTTCATCCACTATTGTACTCAACCCACGTTTGTTGTGTGATGAGTAGATGGCCGTGTTGCACATTTATACCATAAATTAACAATTTCCCTTTGCTAGGCGTTAGGTTTCTAATTTCTTGTTTTATTAACTAATGCTGCAGTGTGCTACCGTATGCATCAATATCTTCCCAGACATCTGGTGACCTACTTAAAGCTGAATTACAGTGATTTAGAATTTTGCAGAAGAAAAAAGGAAAGCAATATACACAAGGAAAACGAATATATACAAGTGAAACAGACCATAAGGTTACAAAAGTACTGTAAGGAAATAGCCATAAACGTTAATAGTGGTTATCCCTTGACAGTGAAATTACTGATGATTTTGACGTATTACTCATAATCAGAAAAGAATACCTTAAAAAAAAATCTGTGATCCTCGATCATTGAAAGAGAATTTAGTATTTCCTCGCATGCTGCCATGTTTCTCAGTGTTGCCATGGGTTCTCGAAAACGTGCAGCCCACCTCGCCAGACAAGCAGAACAGAAAGCGCGGGAACTGCCCTCAGGTCCCCGCAGACGCCCCGCCTGATTAATTGAGCGAATTAGAGCTGCGCCGCCAAAACCTCAGAGGGCCGGGCCCAAACCCCAAACCTGCGCCTCCCGGAGTTTTTTATCAAGGGGGGTCGGGACACGGTCGGGCCTGGGGTCTGGACAGGAGGCGCGGCGCAGAGCCCACGCCGCCTGCAGGGAACCGGGAACGGCCTGGCACAGTGCCCTGCCCTACACCCCGCCCTACCCCGCCCCCTGCTCCTGGCCCGGCCCCCCGCCCCTCCCCTCCGCTCCACGAGTAGGCCCCGCCCCACGGCCCCCGGTCTCCGCCCCCGACGGCCCAGGCCCCGCCTCCTGGCCCGGCGTTTCCCGGCGCCAGCCCCAGTCCTGGCGCCGCAGGCCCCGCCCCGCCCCGCCCCTGTGCGCGCTCGGCCCGGCAGCCGGCTGGACGCGGTGGCGGTGCTGCCCTCGCTTCTTTGTGCTCGGACGGCGGCGGCGGCCTCTCGGGTCCTGACTGGCGCGTCTTCTCTGCTCGCCAGCCCGCGCTCTCCGGTGACGGACCATGTCGGCGGCGGGAGCGGGCGCGGGCGTGGAGGCGGGCTTCTCCAGCGAGGAGCTGCTGTCGCTCCGCTTCCCGCTGCACCGCGCCTGCCGCGACGGGGACCTGGCCGCGCTCTGCTCGCTGCTGCAGCACGCGCCACGCGCCCACCTGGCCGCCGAGGACTCCTTCTACGGCTGGACGCCCGTGCACTGGGCCGCGCACTTCGGCAAGGTGGGCGCGGGCGCTTTAAGGCGCCATCTTCCGCGGTTTTGCCGTGGGGTGTCGAAGAAGGCGGGGGCCGAGGCGTGGGGGGCGCGGGGCGTGTCGGGAACGCGGGGCGCAAGCTGGGTCGGCCGCCAAGGCGCCCCGAGGGGCCGGGGCGCATGTGCGGCGGCGCGGACGGTCTGGGCTGCGAGGGGCGCGCGGGGAGTGCCGGGAGCGCGGGCGGAAGCGGGCCCGGCGGCGGCGGCGGCGGCGGCGCCTGGAGGGGCCCTGGGCGCATGTGCGGCGGCGGAAGCTTCGAACGCCGGCGGCTTCCCGGAGGCGCCGCCCGGGCGGGTGAGGGCTCCTCGCCGCCGGCGGTGCTGAGGGCCGGGCCTCCCGCGGCGGCCGGCTCGGGTCGAGGTGCGGAGACGCGGTCCGCGGGGCGGCGCGCGAGAGTCCGGAGCCTCTCTGAGGAAAACCTCTGTGAGGAAGGCCGCGGGGCCTCCTGACGCCCCTCCGACGGGGACGCCCGGGCGGGAGGCCGCCGCGGCCCGAAGGTCGGTTAGAGGGTTTCCGTGGTCAGCCCGTCGGCGCCTCCAGACGGCTGGGTCGGGGCAGGGTGACGCTCGGACCGAGCTGCTGGGGGCTTCCGTGTGGAATGTCGTCCGTGCGCTGGGGACTCGGCTCGCCCGGCTCAGGCAAACCTGTGGTGTTTGAAGTGTCACGAGATTGGAAGGGCAGCGTGCTGCTCTGAATTCTGAAGAGCTGCGGCAGCGTTTTCCTCATCGTGCGGTAAAGGGGGTTATTCGCTGGGAGCGGTGGCCGCGGAGGGAGGTGCACGGTTCTGTTGTCCAGGGTGGCTTTCGTGACGAAGACGTGGAGACCCCCCGTTCGGGGCCTTCGGAAGACGTTTTCGCCCTGACAGGATGGGGTTGGGTTGAAGTCAGGAAACGCTTTTGCGGAGACACAGGCAGGATGATGGTGAAACGTGTTCCCGTCTTGGGGTGAGATGGTTGTGTTGTGGTTAGTTACCTTTTTGCACCTGACGCGGCCGCTTCGCTTTGCTCGAGGTGCGGCGACGCAGGGGCTGAGCGCGCTCGCAAAGTGAAGCCAGCTTTACGTTAGCGAAGGGAGTGAGAGGGAGTCGTGACGGCAGGGGTGAGAGGCCGGCCGCCTGCGCCCTCGGCCGGGGCTGGGCGAGAGCCCGCGGCGCGCCCCGCAGCGCTGCTCCCCTCGGGAGCCCGGCGCCGAGAGCGAGCACCCTCGGGGAAGCAGCCTCGACGCGCAAGACGGAAAGCGCCCTCCTTGCCGCCCTTCGCCCTCTACCCTTGAACGCAGGCTTCCCCAGGCCGAGGGGTGGTCTCCCCGCCGAGGGCGCCTTGTGCACTTTTACAGTAAGCTGGAGGTAACGCTCAAAGCGTTGCTTCCCAGCATCGCTTGTGCCTTTGTGTCTTGGGGACAGGCGCCCTTGTAAGAGGCAGAGGCACGGCTTTCTGGGAGACGGCTCCCCTCGGGATTCCGATCCTCCCAATCCTGGTTGAGAAGGACGCCCAGTAGGACCATCCGGTACGTCCTGTGAAATGCGTCGGCCTCGTGACAAGTGGTTACTTAGACTGTCTCCCAGTCGGAGGCTGCTTCGGGCATCTCCGGGGATTAACAGTAGCCGAGAGCGCTTAGAGCGGTCGATATCACGCCTGTGTATTTTACGGTAAGAATTCACGGAGTCTCTGCTTCCGTAGAAGGAGAGCGGTAGGTGAACCCCGGAGACCAGAAGCTGCAACCAGAGGCATTTACTTCAGGGTGTTCAGTTGTCGTTATTCACAGTGAGCGGAGAGTCTCGGATACAGAAGGGGCCGCAGAAAGTATTGTTCAGTCTGTGCGAAAAGGCTGTTCGGGCCGCACTCCTGAGCGAAGGCTCCCGGTCCTGTGCCCCTGCACCCTGCCCACAGCTTCCCTCCGTTTGTGGGCCTGGACGCGCTCGCTGTGCTCAGCCTGGGCGACAGCCAGCAGAGCGAGTGTTCCGCGTGCTGTGAACCCCACCCAGCCCTCAGGCCGCGTTCCTAGAGACGTGCCAGCTCTGCACAGGGGTCCTCACCTCTTTATGAGGCTTGCTCGCTCCCGGAGGACTGAACGTTATTCAGGAACTCTGATCACGCCTTGCCTTTACAAGCTGTCGCACTGAACGGTATCTTTACAGAATTCCAAACCGGGTTTTCCACATCCAACCCACAGGTAACAAATTTTAAGTCCAGGGAGCTCTCGGTTGATGTTAAGACTAACCGCTTCTGGCGTACCAAGCGATTTTCATCCTTGTTTCATTTTTGTTGGGCTTGAGACCTGCTCATCTTATCACTGGGATTGGCCGTCATTTTTCACTCAGTACATTGATAAAGACGATAGATAAAAATATACCAAAGTGGTACCTCTTTATCAGCCATTACCCTCAGATTCAGACTCCTAGAGGACAGGTCGTGTTTTAAAAATCAGTGTACCACCAACTGTGAGCGTTCATCTCACAAAAACGTTGATGGCAGTGATCTGTCCTTTACAGGGAAAGGCTTAAATTGCTGAAAGAGGATAAGAGACATGGGGTGAGACCCGAGTGTAGCTGTTCTTCGCTTGAGGTCTGTTCTCAGGAGGAGAATTGTTGGCAGTGAGAGCTTTTTCGCCAGCTGCATTGTGCTTTGGGAGGGAAACGGGACCCTGAGGACATGCTGGGCGGAGCGGTGTAAACCTTTGAGGACAGCAGGCCTTCTCCCGCCGTGCTTGGCACATGGGAGGCACTTGCTAAATATTTGTTGAGTGTGCTGGTTCTTCTTCCAGAAGCTAGTATGGTACCGATGCCTGGCTGCAAAGTCCTGTCCTGACTCCTGTGCCTTTTTGTTTTAGTCACCTGCTAGGGGCAGAGCTCAGCTGTGCTCTAGGCCTTTTTATCTTTGATGGGGGCTGGGGGGGGGGCGGTCTGTACAAACAGTATGAAAAGCCTAAGCGCTGCCCTCTCACTGGCTCCACACATCTTTTCCCTAAGGAGCTGATCTGGAGCTGGGCCTCAATCGAGTATTCAGCCAGTGTGGCCAGTGCAGGCTGCAGAAAATTGTCTTTGACCGTGAAGGGTTCACCGACCGATCACTTTAACAGTTTTCTTCTTTAGAATAGAGCGTGCAAGTGGCAAAGCTTAGTTCTGACAAAAGTCTGTGAATATGCAATCTAGTCTTTTCTGACTTTGGCTTTTTTAAACACTGAGGTATAGTGGATTTACAGTATTATATTGATTTGGGCTTTTTCAGTTGTAGGAAAAACAAAATATTTAAACTTGTATAGTGTCAGTTGTTTCGACTTTCTATTCCTGTGTACCAACTTTATTTTACAAGGACGAGGGAAAATGTTCTTTTAAATAAGCCTTTTAAAATTTGTATGATACTGGGAAGGAATGACTTAACTTTGTTTTCTTAAACAGAAAAAAAGTTTAACAAAAAATGCCACTCATCTCCATTACAGAATTTAGATTATCTGTGTAACGTTTAGTAGTATACTGACGTGTATGCCTGTTTCATCCCCCCTCCTGCTGTTCTCCAAGTTGGAGTGCTTAATACAGTTAGTGAGAGCTGGAGCCACACTGGATGTCTCCACCACCCGTTACGCACAGACCCCAGCCCACATTGCCGCTTTTGGGGGACATCCTCAGTGCCTCGTCTGGTTGATCCAAGCAGGAGCCAGCATTAACAAACCGGTAAGGGAGTGCCCATGATTGACGTGGTTGGTTTTTGTTTTCGTCTTCCAGTTCTAATTACATGGTGTTGAGTTTTAAATTGAGGCGTTAATTAGAGTTTGATATCTTTACCTGTGGGCTAACTGGAACTTATGTTTATGAAGTTATTTGTGGATAATTGGCCCATCACATAGCAATGCCTTGTGTTCAGAGTGCTTTCGCCTGTATGTGACTTATTGTGCCCCACAGTGAGTTGCCCAAGGTCACAGCTGGTGAGTGAAGGAGCCTGGCCTTGAGCCTGGGTTTCCTGGCTCCTCTGTTCACAGCTGCCTTAGCTCCGTTTCCACAGATAATTGTGAGAACACATCTGTTCCAGCAAGAGAATGGCAATTAAGTCATCTGTGTGGTTCAGGTAGCATTAGCAGGTTGAGCAGCATGAGTTGTCTTCAGGTACGGGGTGGGGATGATGGTCAGACGCAGAGAAGTAGCCAGGTGTCCTGTAGGAAGTGACTCCTGGACACCAAATTGAGGAAGGGTGTTTTAGCAGTGGTTTAAAACAAGGGTCAGTGAGAAAGGGGAGGGGGTGAGGGATAAGGGGGCAGTTTCTTCTCTTTAAGAGACTGGGTGGGAAGGGCGCATGAGGAGAACCCTGGATTTTAGGCCTGTTTCTGTTACTAAGCTGCAAGCTGGATGTGGGACAGCTCTTTGGGTCACCTGCTACCCTCCACTCTTCCTTCTTTCACGCGTGCTCCTCTACTGCTTTGTTGCTTTGGTCCGTGAATTCAGGAGTTACAAGTGGGCGACTCTGTACCATTGTGGTGCTAGGCGTCGCCTGTCCCCACTAGTCTCCTTCCTGCTCGTGGATTCTCCCCCCACCCCCTTTTCTCCTGGTAGAAGGGGCACGCCCTGCTTCCTCATCTCTCTGGCCTTGGACGAGTGGTTTACTGGTTGTAACTCAATCTCCCTGTCAGTAAAATACGGATAGCCCATGAGTAGCAGTAATTAATATTTAGTATTCATGTGGAGTTTTAAGTATAAATTTTCTATATGATGATTTTCATTAAATTGTTACATAACATTTAGAGAGATCTAAAGAAATTGTCTAACGCTGCTTTTCAAATCTTTTTGAACGCAGAAGCCCCCTTTTTTCATGTAATGATGTATAGCAGCTCAGTATTTTCCACAGGTAAAAGATTTGAGACCCTCCTCCTTCCCCCAGCTGCTCTAGACAGCACCACGTGGAAATCCCTCCTCAACTCTGCTCCCAGGGCAAGAGTCCCCAGATCCCACTCTCCTCACAGCTCTCCTCTTGTGTTTAAACAGCCCACCTTGGCTCAGCATCCTCATGTCCTCTCATGTACGAGGGTATCGCTTGGGTTTCTTAAGTGTCTTGGCACTGCTCCCGGAAGGGCCTTGGTTGGCTGTGGTCTCACGTGCGGAGCTTCGGCCCGTCCGAGTCTTGGCTGTCGGTTTGGACTGCTGCGACAGGCACTCAGTGACCCTGAGGCCCCAGTAGGCTTTCTGTTGGCTCATCTCAAGGTAGACAGTTTTTCTCATTTCCCGCATAAACTTATGCAACTAGGTGCAGGTTTTTCTTATTCTTTGCGTGCCTATAATTTTTTGAACCTTAGCATACCTTTTTTTCTTTTGGCATGTTAGTTTCTTACCATTCCAAGTTCCTTTTCCTCAAGTTTAATAGAGACCTTCTCTGCCATATCTAAGGTTGGCATGAGGGGTTACTGAAGCTCAGATGTGCTGTCTGGAGGCTCAGTGTTCTAAGTTTACCCAAAGAGGAAGTGAAGTTAGATTTTAAGTGGTTTATTTTTGTAAGTCCATAGTGGCTACCCATGGGTGTCACTTTTTGTAAGTCATCTCTTTAATAACCCTTCTGGCATTTGATATTGCCTTTAGTTTCTGGTAACTAGATTAGAAGTAAGATTTTTTTAATTAAAATTCAAGGTGACTTGTCCATTTTCGGATTTCTGGCACCTCTCCCATTGTCCTTTATGACTCAGAGTTTGCCAGCAATAGTTCTAGAATCATATTACAGACTATTTGGTATTTTTGAAATATGACTGGTCTGAACTTGAGATGTGAGTAACCTTAAAATGGCTCTTTACTCTCATTCTCTTGGTTGCAGTTTTCTTTAAGTAGTGTTTATTCTGCCCTTCCCAGCTTAAATAGTCTCTTTGTATAACACAAAACAGGAGCAGGGTAGTTTTGCTTTTTTCTCTGGCATCTATTGCTATCCCACCCTGTTCTTGAAATAGTATAGAAAACATTTTTCTTCTTGTACCAAAGATAGCTTTTAAAATCCTTTTTGGTTTTCTTGAGTTTTTGTGGTGTTTGTCAAAATCTCACCTAAATCTTAGTTCTACTTTTCCTGGCAATATGTGTACGTAATTTTTATTTGTTCTTATTATGTACCTCCTGTCTCCCTTCCCTCCTCTTTTCAGACAATAGGGTAGGTTTTTCTTTTGTTTTTTAAGTCTGATTTCACTAGATAGTTCCCTGTATAGCCTCATGATTTTGTTTCTTTCTTCAAAATTGGGACTATTCTGTTTGAAACTTTACATCACTTTTGAGCTTATACATAACTTTTCCCTCCAGTAAGTGGTTGAGTCTTTCATATTATATTTTTCTGTGAAATGCTCTACCACTCCTCCTTTCTAGTTTAGTCCTCACCTCAGTTTTCCCCCCGTGAGTTAATATTTCCTAGTGCCATGCACTGTGCACCATTGCCCCACTCTACACTCTAATTATGTGTAGTTTTCTACTGCCAAGTTCGCATTCAGTGATGATGGGATGTGAGTGATTCAGGAACTGTTGCTGCTTAGTCAGTTGGCATTTCTGAGGCAGAAAGTCCTAAATCAGTTTTTCTAATGGAAACAACTTCCTTCTCTTAATCGCTGTATCTTTCTTTACCTTTTTTTTTTTTTATCTGAGAGCCTATGAATGAAATTGTGTTTCACGTTTTTTATTTTGGTCCATTCACAGTGTAAAGTAATTCTTTTTTTTTTTTTTTTCTGATTCGTGTATGAGTCTTCAGAGTCATTTCCCCGAGTCTGCTCATTTCCTATGCCTCCTTCAACATTGTTTCCTGAAGCGTCAGTCAGGTTCTAATGCATCCTTTCTAAAAGTCCTTGAACAAAGTCCCCCATCACAGAACAGCCTGAGTTGTATACAGAGCTGCCTGTGTTTGACCCTGTGTTCTCCCTTCCCATTTTTTTCTTGACCCTTTAACTTTAGCTGTCTTGTCTAAAGTATAGTCCTAATTCAGGCTCAAGATAAAAAATCCAGGGGGAGGCACTGGTGTGTCTCGACTCAGGCTCTCCTGTGGTGGACATAGGTGAACGTGGGTGGACTAGACCAAGACGTTAGCTGTTAGGCCTTGATTACTATTTTTTGGTCTGAGGATAATAATTTTGGGTGTTACATGCATCTGTGCTGTGATCCATCATAAAAATTATTTCTAAATTGCCACCTAGAGTGTACGTGCTGTCATGGTTGGAGAGGCCCCATGATTTTTTTGTTCTTGACCTAAGAATTCAGGAGAACGTGCTCCTTCCTTGGTCTGCTTTTATTTTCTCTTCACGTCTACATTTCTTTGTGTTCTGCTTCAGATTTGGCTCACCTTAATTCTATTTCATAGGAATGAGATGGTACATGGCCTTTGTTAATTAACTTGAGAATGTGGAAATCTTGTAAGGATCTGAATGCTTTCCTTTTTGTTGTTTCAGGACTGTGAGGGCGAGACTCCTATTCACAAGGCGGCTCGCTCTGGGAGCCTGGACTGCATTAGTGCCCTGGTGGCTAACGGGGCTCATGCCGAGTAAGCATCTTCATTTATTCTTGCCAACCAAAGATGTGGTCAGGGGTGTCGTGTTTAGAGACAGGATTTAGAGCAAGCAAAAGTTCTGAGCTTTGTTTTCAATATTGGTAATAGAGTTTTGCTTTTTAGATCAGTTGGCGTTAGTGAGCAAGTTGTTGTGTGAGTTGAGTTGACCACTAGCAGAAGGGGCTGAATCCCAGCAGCCTCAGCGTTCTTGCCGTGAGAGAGAGAGCATATTAGGGTGGTAGGAACAGTTAACTCATTAAATTTGGAGCCTGGCATTGTTGACTTTACCACTGACTAATTGTGTCACTGTGGGCAAGTCTTCAAACTTTGCCAAGTTTTAATTTCAGAATGAGTGCCTCGAATTGGATTAGAATATATTTTCAGGCCTCTCTGGCTCAAAAAAATTCTTGCAGACAGTTAGCTTTTCTTAATTTTGCTAAAAAGATGGTTTCCTCATCTTTTAGCAGATATGAGAACATCTTATGTTTTAAAACCTGTTATGATTCTTCAATGATTTTATAATTCCTTGTAAAATGGAGCTGTACACATTAAAGACTTAAAAACTCACTCTGAGTTTTTGATACTGATGGCATTATTTTAGAATATCCTTGTTTTAGCCCAGTTTACATCAACTGGCTGATTTCTAGCTTGAGAGAACAGTATTAACATTTAAGTGTATTAATTTTAAAATGTGATCTTGTATGCAAATCATTAGCTAGCCATGGCATTATACGTTTATTTCAGTATTTAATTCATTTGTATTAACTTTCTCTTAAAGATTCATTGTAAAAATTTTTCTTCTGCAGTTCACAGCATTAACAAAATGGATGCGGTTTTCACCCTTAAATATTGAGTGTAAGCTATAGAGCTGTAATAACCAAAATAACTATGATAATATCAGCTTTTTTGTTTTACCTTGAGTGTCTTGAATATTTCATAAAAATTAATTACAAACCACTTTATTCTAATTGGAAATATGAAAATTTAGACTTTGGGAGAAATAAAACCCACAAAACTGACTTAGTTTAACCCTTTGGTTTCCACTTCATTGTTTTGACTCTGTATTATAATAAATATTGAAAACAGATCCTGGACAGCAGAACCATATAGGTTAATGAAAGGCCTGTTTGATACCAAGGGCTATCATTAGGCTCTTAGTATCTTAGCTTCTGTTTCATTAAGTATTATTGTTAAGATTAGACATTAGTTTGGGCTTGGATCATTTACTTATGTAGCCATTTAGTGTTATAAATATGACCTGTGTTAACTGTTACATTGCAGGGAACCTTGTGACTTCATATGTAGTTATAATTTAAGGTAACGTAAAAACAATTGATAATATGAATATATATTACACAGTTTAGAAAACATCAAGATGATTCTCATTGCATTGCTTTAAAGCAACGTTGTAGATGCAGTTTTCTTAGCTGTTTTTTAGATTTAAAACTTTAATTTTAATAACAGAAGCTTTGATTATAAAATACAGAGTCGTAAAATAATTGATTAAATTCCTTAATTGTCATTTATTGAAATAATGAATAATTAGAAGTTGATCTTTTCAGTGACTTATCTTTCTAAACAGTACTCTAATTGGTCCTGAGCATTTTATTACTAAGATGTTAGTTTTATTCACTTTAATGGATAGTTTAATCCTTTGAACCAATAAATATCTTTCTTGCGCTATGTCCTTTTTTTAATAGGTGTCTTTTTAAAATGAGATCATTTTATTTACGATTCTGTCCTTGTTACAGGACCCTCAAGTGTCTCTTTCCCACCAAGTGTGACTGAGCATGGCCTCGAGTGCCAGTTTGTTTTTCCTTCTCAGTATAAGAGCCACTCCCTCAAGACCCTGCATATGGTGATTTCCCTTGACTGAACTTTCAGATATTTTTTAGAAGAAATATTTAGCCTGAGCCACCTAGCCAAAAGCAATTTTTAAAATTATATGTCTTTGGCCTGGAGATAGAGCACAAGTAATCATTATTTATTGCTATTGAATATGTGGTTATTTAGTTTTAACATCTAGATAAAATGTCAGTTTCGCCAGTAAGCTAAATTGTACATTGCTTTTTAATATCTATTCTGCACATTTTTATAGTTTAACACTTTTAGTCTCTACCAACACATAATAGTTTGATTCCCCCAAATTATGGGACTTAGATCTCTTTTGTTTCCTGTTTATGTTGCTCACGTGGTAAAGTGTAGTCCTAGCAGATAAAAATGCCTTTTTCTTTTAAGGTCATCAAGGGGCACAGAATTAATTTACTTACTTGAAGTTAACTTATTTTGTTCCCAGTTCAAAGTGAGCCAGATTATTAATTTTAATATTACATGCTATAGTGTTTAGGAGTTGGTGGAAATTTTTCCTTTTTCCGTGACCAGATTAAAAGCTGTCTTGTATCAGTATTTTATCACACTTGGTGGTAATTAATAATTTTGTTGTTAATTCCTACTTTGCTTTTTATATATTTGCTATGTAAAGTGGCCAAAATCTTAAGTTGCTGCTTTTTTGGTCATCGGGTAGATAATGGTGAGGGCAAGCGTACCAGGCATCTGTGGCTAGAATGGTTTGTTACATAACCTACTTGTCAATGTAGGCTGCATCTGTAAGATAACGCATGTCAGCTGCTGTGCATCGTAGCACATTTTCTAGCACCACACGTGAGTATGTTGATGGAGTTTCTTTTTCTTCTCTTATTTTACATCTTGAGTTTTGGTGCCAAGTTTTCTTTTTCATGTGAGGTTTTGTTTCTCCTTATATGATTGTCATTGTTACTGTTTACATCTAAAAATAAAAACACACAGGATTAAGTGTCAGTTCTGTGACCAGACTGAATGCTTGGATACTTTAAATGATCTAAACCTCTACAGACGCTTCTCACTCATTTTTTTCTCAAGTAGGGAGTTTTTATTAAGTAAGTTAAACTGTCATCATCCTAAACTTTGCTTATATGGCAGTTCAGTTCTTCATTGCAGCCAGGATTTGAATGCTACTTGCACAAACACAAAGGGTTTTTGATTGGAGGAAGGACATATAGTAACATGGAAAAGTTGTTGCCTTATTTTTCTTTTGGATGATCAAATAAGTAACAATATAAAATTAAGTTTTAATGTGATTTCAGAGAAGGACTCTTGAAAATTTGCTGTCTGCTGATAATTAAGACCACCTTTTATGTGACCAATGAGGAGAAGCAAGAGAGCCTATTTGTGTTCCCACAGGCCAGCTGGGCACTGTTCTGTTCAGGTGACTTGGGGGCTCTAGTCATGCCAGTGGAAGATGAATGTAACCTGCATGGTGATTCAATCAAACATTTCCTCCCTGACTCCAAAAGATTGGGATCAATCCTGAATGTTTATGTGTTGCATTTACTTTTACAAAAGAAAAATTTATATATATATATATATATAAATTTTTTTAAAAAGACCTTTTACAAACAACTTTGTAAAGTACACATTTCTAGCCTTGAATTATCTTTCCTTTTAGTATTTTGGCACTGACTGATTTTGGTTATTTTTGTTTTTATTTTCTTGAGAGATGTAGTGGAGAATGTTTCCATATCAACCAGATATAAAAGTAGATTTTTTTTTAATGCCTCAGAGTAGAAATGAAGGGATTTAGTGAGATTTAGAGATTCAGAATTGCCTGCATCTAAGGCCAATTTGCTAGTCCATTTTAATACCGCATTATACCAGGTACCAGTGTTTAATTATGTTGTGGCAAAGTCCCATAGCTTTTTGTAGGAGAGCATTTCTGTAGAAGCCATTGATTCTGTGGTAACCACATCTTCCAGTGGGTTACATATATTTTAACTTAATTGTTTTCATCCCAAGAGGAGCTTAACTGTGATCATCAGATAGCTGGAGAAGCATCTATAACCTTATATAAGCAAGTTCAGAGATTCACTCTGAAAAAATCTTTCTTGCCTAATTTAGAAAATAGACACAGTTGGCTTTAGTGACAGAAGTCTTAAAATGTGGTCATAATAGACTTTTTTGAATGTTGCAGGGGAAAGTATTTTGCTGAACTTTTAAAAATTCTTAATTGAAATGGAGTTGGTTTAGTTTGGTCCATGTTTATGACCCACCTTTATTTGCTTACCCGTAGAGCTCTGTCTAGAAGCTAAATTTTCATTAGGGCTAATCATGTGATGAGCCTATTTAATATTAGTGTCGGAAGTTGTTTTGCAGCTTTTGCCCTTGGCAAACTTCATTAGACATTTATTCATGTTTGAAGTTTGTGGTTTCTTTTCATTTGTTCACCTATTTGCCCTTCAGAATAATAGTCCAACCATGAAATTTATTAGCAGTGTAACTCTGAATTAGTGGTTTCTGATCTTGGATCCTGTGCATTCCAGTCCTGACCTAGTGTTCCCTCCCTGACTTACTTGTCACTACAGCAGTCTTGTCTGATCTTGCAATTTCCTGGCTCTTTTTTCCTTTTATTAAGCTGTTGCAGGCAAGGTGGAGGAATTACTTCCCGAGGTAGCTGATGAAGTTCTGCCTGCTGGAAAGGAGCAGATAGATAGCAGGCTGACAGTGTTCTAGAGTTGTTGACAAATTCAGTTTAGAATTTTGATTGTTTTTCATAACAGCTTGAATATATATAGGTTTTAATATTTGTTTAAGCACTGCTTTTATATAGTGCTTTCAAGTAAAACCAATGATTTCTAAATTCAAATGTCTTTTCCTTTGCTAAATTATAGTGGGAGCAGGTTAAATATTTCATCAGACTCTTTGAATGATGCTGTTATATTTTAATGTATGCAAACATAGCTGGGGTTCAGTTGCAACATAAAACTGTCCTCAGTAATGTTGAACTTGAATTGAAAACTTGGCACCAAATTTATTCAAGTAGAAACTTTAAAAAATAGTTTCTTCCTATTGTTACCTGAAGAATATATTTAAGAAAGTCTTCATAATTACGTATTTAAGAGTTTGGATACCAAAGGGTTAAAAATACACGTTTTCCTTTTACTGAAGAAATTTTAGATGTT